TGTTTGGCGCATCGGTGGTTACCAAGGCAACACAAGTAGTGTGACGCAGGTAACAGCAGCAGAAGAAAGGAAGGTGATGATTGGCTGGCAACTCCTGATACTGAGATGAACCTTCCTAAATGAAAACCATAAACACACACGCACACACTGATATTTAAATGTACTTTTCTAGCATCTTCTGACCTCAGAAACACATGTGAACTGTGAACACATCCTAAGTAACATTAAAAAATATACTTTCTTAGATTCAAATGCGACTCAACTACACTATGCTTATATATCTGATGACACATATCACAAACACAAAATTTAGTTTCGAACATTATGTTATGTCGGCTTACTTCTCAGTAAGGGCCCCCTTTGTTGACAGGGTGGTAAGTGGGTGGTAACTGTGTGATATTTAACCAATTGAAAAATGTACAACAAATGTGTCGATGGGGCGGCATGCTTGGGGCACCCCACAAAGTCTTCCCATTTTTACCCCCAGACTGCCGCTCCTGTTCATAGTAGTTATGTGATATGGAGTATATGAAATTATGATACACTTTCCTCTTCTTGTTGGGTTGAGTAATTGATGGGGTTATGGAAAATCAGATGCAAGACGAATGCAACTTTTCTTTGCGTTTGCACTATATAGCTCAGGGGTGTGCAACTGGTGGCTCATGGGCCGCATATCAGAATCAGAATTGTCTTTATTGACCCATTATGTAGAACACACAAGGAATTTGCCTCCGGTACGACAGACTACACTAGTATTATCAATAATAAGCAACTACTGTACAATAAACAAGGACATGACAAATAAGTATCCCCTGATTTAAAAATAAATAAATAATCAAATTTATTATTATAAACGTTTTTTCTCTTCTGCAGTGGACCCCCACATAGATGTGGCTGCGCACCCGCTTATTTGCCTATTCTTGGAATTTTTTCAATATTTTATAATTTTTTTTTGGTTTGTTTTTTTTCCAAGTGGAGCAAATCAGCATTTACCAGTGTTTTTCGTCATTTCGTTTGTTTAAAAAGAAATATAAAAACATGACCAATGCATATTGTCAATAATACATGGATTTTTTTTCCATTTGTCCCACTCGCTGTCCACTCTATAATTTTAAATTGGAATGCTACTATTATGACCTAGCATGAATGACCTAGGCTTCACCGGGTCTTATACTGCCCGAAACTACAAAGTGAATATGCCAATTTTATTTTTTGGGGGGGGTGGATTTGGAATAACATGCCAGACAAACATAGTATGTGTATAATATGTAATTACACCTAAATAACAATTTTTAGTTACCGGTAATTAATTTTCAGGGGAAAAAAATGCACAAGATGAGTTCTTGGACTTAATGTTGGTTTGCTGTTCAGCAATTTTGTGACATCTTTGAATGATATTTTTATGCATGAGAGCCCTTTGCACTGGAAAACAAAAATCACAGTGTGTGGTTTTTTTTTTAGTGAGTGAATCTTTACTCGATCAGTTACTCACATAGTTTTGCCCTGTTACTTAATTACTCAATTTAACCAAACAATTTAAGTTTCTACTGCAAGGCTCCTAAAGCTATAAGTAAGTTTATTTTTTTAATAACATTTACAGAATGGAAACACCCTTGGCATGAACCATAAGAGACTGTGAGCAAGGTCACATATAAGGTCCAACATCTATGACTTTCGGTCACACATTCCATCATCCTATAGTTTTCCCAGAGTGCTACTAAAACCGCAAAGGTGGGACCAAGCCCACATTAACATTCTTTTTCACTTCCTGTAGGCACAACAAACAATTGTTCCAATATTTTCTACCATACAGTGTTGATGCATTTTATTCTGATAATCTGCTGGATCAAAATGAGTGCAAACCTTTAAACAAAACCGCTTTTATTTGCCTGTTCTCATGTTCATACATTACTTCACTTTTCTAGTGACAAATAAAAGAAATAACAACCATTGAAGCAACTACATTTTTCCCCTCTCATCACAAATCTTCACCCAAGTGCTTGAACTGAAGTTTTTCATGGCCGAGGGTAGCCAGGCAACTGCTCCACCTGTTGTGAAACTCCGGAAACAAGATAACACAGCAAATCAATGAAATCGGTGGTAAACACAGAATGTGGTATTAGCAGAAAGGAGAAACTAAAGAGCAAAATTGAGAGGGGAAAAAGAGAATATGCATGCAAATGAAGTTGCAGCTTTGTGCTGTAAAACTACACTCGAAAAGAGAAGCTGATAAAACTAGAAATCCAAATGTTTAATCCAGTGCATCACATGACAGAAAACTGTTATGTGTATAAAGAAACTAAACACATAGCCAGTACATTTTAACAATAAGCATTCTGCCAGTTGCGAGTGATATGCTGAGTTAAGGATACAATAAAATAAAATGGAATTAAAAAAAGTAAATCACATCTTTCTGGCAGTAGAAAAAAAAAGTAATTCCAGGCATCGTGTTTCAGCTTGACCATTTGAGTGTTGGTTTTATATTGGCGTGGTGAGGAAGAGGCCTGTGTGCTTCGCTGATGATGCATCATGTCAGTGTTGGTTCTTCATCCCTTGTGGTTTGCCTGCTTTCTTATCCGTCTGCTGCTGACCTCGTCCAGGGCCGCTCATTCCTCTGCCTCGACCGCCAAACAAACCTGGCGGGAAAAAGACAGCGAGGGAGAAAGCTAGATTACCAAAACAAACTTGTAAGAAATCATTTCATTTACAAAACAATATATCTCGGATATTAAGACGACACTTTCCATAATTAGTTCTTATACAATGTTCAGCACCAGGTTTTAAAACACAATTATGTGATGTGATACAACTAAGTTCATTCTTATCTACTCGTGCCACTCTGGTTGAAATTATTTTTGGAGAGCAGTAAAACGGAAAAGGGGCTTAAAAATATGCTCAGCTCTCAAAAAGTAAAAACACACGGGTCGTCCTACCGCTTCCACTGTATTTAGTTAACAGTAGAGATTGTGTTGTATCTAGTTGCAGTATATACGAATAATATTTTTATTTTCAAAGCACCCCTAAAAACATGTTAAAATCAAGAGCACAGGTCTTGAGATCACACACTAGAGACGCAACCAAGTGTATTCTAGCTAGTGAAATAGCAGGATATGAAAAGCTCACCTCGACCCACTCCTCCTCTTCCTTTGCCCTGCTGTTTGTTCTGCTGGGCACCTCCCCGCCCACGACCCTTCGACACCACCTCCTCTTTCACCATATCGATGATCTCATCCGGGATTCGCAGATACTTGATGGTGCTTCCTCGGATGTAGCACTCGGGCATGCGCCAGAACTTGTCACCATCCTGGGATAGGTAAGTCAAGTGTCATACACAGTGTACGGTGCTTTGAAAAAGGATTCATATCTCTCAAAGTTTATCACACATTTTGACCTTACAATTACAAACTTGCCCCAAAATACAATGTTGTGAAATTAACTGCCTTCAGAAGTTTTTTCCCCGAAATTTCCCATTATAAGTCAGCAAAACGGGCATCCATCAGTGTTGACAAAATGCCCATCTCTGTAAAGAAAGTGTTGAGAGCAGACAAGGGTTAGTTGTACCCGAGAGGTGCAAATGACTTCTCGCAAGTTGATGTTCATCCAGTTATCACAGCTGACCAGGTGGCCGTTGTACGTCTCGCCATTTTTCAGCTCCACCAGCTATTGAGAAAATGAAACAAAAAAACAATGACAAACCACATGATGCTGCTCTTTGTTTTCCTCATTAAAATACAAACTAACTAAATGCTGAATTTAAGCTTACACAGGAAAGCAAAAAACGGTTAGAATTGCTGTGTTGTTGCTTCATTGCTGTGCTAATGCATAATAGTACACAGGAATGAATTCAAGCTCACCATTGGATGGTTCTGGGCAGTCTTCAGCAGAGACAATGGAAGCTGTAAAACGAAAAAAAGCATTACTTTTGACTGTAACAGTATTTGAATTGAGTAACAATAAACAGGTCCTCTGGTCCACTCGACATTCAGTTTGGTTAACGGCTCCCCACATAAGGCGCTGAAACAAGAAGATGATTTGCAGCTCCACTGAAAACCTTCCAGAATTCACTCATCAGAAGCCCTTAAACAAATGTTTTATCCTATTTTATGACTTTACTGCTAACCAGCTAGCCACCGATCACTTCGTGTCGTCATGTTCCTGCTACACTTAGCTCCATACACATCCATGCACACTAGCCAAGATTTTTTTGTTTGTTTTTTTGCCGTGAAGATTGCATTACATTTTAAATAACACCACAATGGAGTACGTACCATTATGATAGTCTATGGTTAAGATCTTTTATCCGATTTCAGAGTCAGACCACAGCGTCAGACATACGAATACACGATTTGTCTTCGCCTTCTTCTCTGAAAGTGTTTAAAGGCGGATTATGACTATAATATCAGCTACTGCACTCTACAGTCCTAAATGGGTAGTACAAGTAGACTTCAGGATACGGGTGGGCGAACCGTTGTGCTCCAGGAATGCCACGTTTGACTAAAAATGGACAGATGGGCCAGGACATTCGAAGAGCAGGTTAAAAATAAATAGGTATTTTGTGTTTAAATGTTATTGATTTATAACTAATTAAATGACAATTAATTAAATGATAGTTAATTTGCCAATTATTAAAAACAATTCCAAAATGTTCATGTTGTTTTCTGGATGTATTTTTTATTTTAAATAATTTTTACTTGTAATTCCAATTAATAATTTGAAGTACATGTAAATATTCTGAATGAATGAATGAAACCAAGTAATTCCCTTACATTCTCTTTATTGCATTTTTATAAAATGTTTTGAAGACTTTTTTAGGAAGGCACTCATGGCATTTCAATGGAGAGAACCGATATGACGAAAGTGTTTCACCGTGGTTTTTTGCAGGATCGGATCACGGATGAAGTAAAAAAAAAAAAAAAAGAGAACAGTCACGACTGTAATTTGATAATGTAGTTTATTTGTTATTGACACGTTTCAGCTGCCGTAGCTGTATGTACGTCTCTGGTGACGTCATCACGCCTCCTTCAAGCCCTGGATGCTTGGTGGTCCGCGGTTTGTGTTGTTGTCCTTTTGCTTGCACAGAGAGGGGGTCAACGGGGGAGGCTTTATGGTCTTGCTGCACAACACAGACCGAATAGAACACCGAAACGCTCGACGTCTCGCGACGGGAAATGGACAACAGTAAACGGACTGTGGTCGTTACAGGTGTGTCCTTATTTGATTATTTTGCTCCCCCTTTATCTAGTCTCTCGGCAAACTAGTCTTATGGTGGAAGTAGTGGAAAAGTTGGTTGGTTGATGACAGCTGCTCGAACGGCTAATGGCGTCGGCCTGCTTCTGCTCCGCTCGGCTGCCTTTGCAGACAGGAGAAAGTACTCAATCGACACCGCGCAACTGCATGCTTTTGGATTTAGCGGTTTGGTTGTTTTGCATGTCGTGCTACAATGCTAAATAACAACACACATTTGCAGGAGACTGGTCGAATTATTTGATCTGGTCTGTCATAATGGAGAAGCGACAATAAAGTTCATATAAATATATAAATATATGTATACACAAACACACACACACACACACACACACACACACACACACACTTGTAATGATACAATTATTCCGTACTATATACAACTAGTGCGGTGGTGTCAATGTTTAAAACCGAATAGCACGTCATCCAAGTTTTCATTGTTATAGTCAACTCAACTCAATTACAACTTGGAGGACTTAAAAAAAAAAACAACAACAACAACCGCGGCTGGAACAAAATACTCGAGCGTAAAGCACAATCGTTTTTTACTTCTACAACTGGTACAACAACACCAACTGCTGCTACTATCGTACTACTACTTTTTACTATAAATACTGTGGCCAAGTTTTTAATACAGGACAGAGAAACATGATTTCAGGCTCCACTGACTGATGACCAGTATGAGGGCGTGTATGACGTCACGTGCTCCCTGCAAACCGAAAATGTAAACAAACAACTGCGTTTTCAAACAGCTGTTGACTTGTACGTTGACGAATAACACAGGTACAAAAGTAAGGGTTTAAATCCCTATCTCATTTAACCCTAGCGAGCTGTTGTAACAGGATGGAGACTCACGGGACAATTTGAAGTTACCCTTTAAAAAAAAAAAAAAAAAGATGTATTTTACATTAAATACCCCTTTTGATTTGACAGGTTAATGCTTTCTTGTACTACTTTTAACACTGTTGTTTGTTTATTTTTTTGTGGTGATGTTTAACTGGGCAAAGTGCATATCACATTGACATAGTTATTAGGGGTGTAACGATACAGTCTATTTAATTCATGTGTCTGCGATCCAGCTACATTGATTGCGCTGGAGTAGTTTAACTCGATGCTGTCACACATCATTTTTAAATGATTGATCGATGTAATCAATATAATTAACATAATTTTATACTCCAAATTCCTAATACCCTTTTATTTATTTTTTTATTAAGTTAATGTATAAAAAAGAGAATGAGCTTGCTCTGGTGTCAGTGCCGCAGTTGTTTTTTTTTTAACATTTTGGAGTCAGTAAGTCTCGGTTGGTTTTAAATCTATTGTCTAATCTATTGTTTATTTGGAGTTACCTTTGGATAGTATACATTTATGAACAGAAAAGCAATTGTTCCTATATCAAAATATCATATTGAACATAGCCTTTACTGTATCAAATTGTATCATTCAAAAAAGTAATATATCGTTTTATGTCGAATCGTCAGACCTTATATCGATATGTATCATATCGGTCAAAAAAGTGTTACACGCTTAACAACTACACATTAGTGTTGGTTTCGTTACTGTATTTTAAAGCAAATCGCAAATTTTACCTTGGAATTACACAAGACTCTTTTCCCCAATTGAGCGTCAAGCACACGTGATAGGACATCATAATGTTACATGTAAAGAGAAGTAGTGCGGGCAGTGACTTGGACTCTCTTTCCAGACACAAAGGTGTCCCAGCTGATGCTCGATGTATAGGATGCCTGGGAACGGCCTCCTCACAATAGCTTGCCGGCTGGCAACTAGCGACCCCTCGCTCTGCTCCTATTCAGTAGCCTGTCAGACAGACTGATCCTCCCTCCACCCAACCCCCAGGCACCCGCTGACCCTTGGAGTAATGGGTGTGGAGGAGGGGGTGTAGGTAGGGGGCTTGTCTGTAGATCCCAATATAAACAAGTCTGTGTGAGGGAATATCTCTTGCCTGTTGTCGTTGATTTTGCGGGTCATTTAAAAATAGATAGATAAATGGTTACTTTTTTTTCCATCCCCTTAGTGTAATTTTACATATGGATATGGATATGACTCAATGCGGGCAGCGCGTGTTGATGCCCTGATTTTTTTGGTCATTTGAAAGGAGCAAACAAAGCTACAATCCCTAATTTAACCTACACCTGCATTCAAGCTGAAGAAGACTTTTAAAAATACATTGGGACCTCCAAAGTTGTTTGAAATTCAAAACTAAAGTTCCCATGAGAAATAAGGGAAGTATTCCACGGGTCAATTGTAAATTTTAATCAGATATGGCTTTATGTGTCCCTACATATTTTAGACACCGATCAAAAAAAAAATGACTGCACATTTTTTCTAGCACATCAGGTTTTTGAGATCTTTTCATTTTTTGTTATGTTAGTTTGACCTATAAAAGCTTGCGCAACTCATGTTGTCATTTATAGCTATCACATCTCAGAAAAAAAAGTCCACCTGTTGCTGACCCAACCCCTTCATTCAAAAATAAATAGATTATTACACTAAAAATTATAGGATTATTGTATCATTTATTTAATGAAGACCTGCTCGAGAAACTTAGAGTACAGGCTTGAAATCAGCGCAAGAAATATATACCGGTATATCTGGAAACATTAACGTGCATCTCTGATTCACAAATTTAGTAAAAAATTGTTGACCAGTGTTATTAAGTTCCGTGCTAAAACCGTCATCATAATGAAACCTTGATGAGTAGTTAGAAGTTAACCGCAGTACAACACAACCGAACTTCAACTAATTTGCGTTAGCATCTGCTGAGTACAATATTGCAGTGAGCCGTAACATGCTTTCCTATGTCACAATAAGTTCAATTTCCAGTTCTATTGGGATCAGTGACCACCACCAAGTCCTTTGTGATGCTCACTGTGTTGAATGTGACTCCTCTACATTAGTGTAGGTGAGCGAGAGACTTCTTCTTTATGTCACCCTCAAAGGAATTTCACTCCTTCGTAAACCAAAAACGCTGTGCCAGAACAATTTTGAATGAATAATACAGATTTTGTGTTTTGTGTGTTGTGATTGCATTTCAGGAAAAAAACAGACTGATTCCAAATTGTGACACAATGAAAGGAGACAATATTTTGTATTCATATAGCTGAAGTAACAGTCACTATTTTGCAGGTTTTGGGCCATTCGGAGAGCATACGGTCAATGCCAGCTGGGTTGCGGTCCAGGTGAGTTTAACCACAGTTAATATACATCAGTGATTTACATGCGCAAAATGGACAGCAGCGTGTGTATATTTTTGCTGTAAAAAAGAAGTGAAATTTTGATTAGGCTTAGAGTCTTTGTTGAAGATATCATGATTGGTTTCATTTGTAACAATTGGTCTGCGTGTAATATTGAAAGCAGAAGTTTGACCTTTTGAGACATGATGGTTGTTCTGTACCTTGTACACAATGCGACAATTGAGTGATGCCTTCTTCACAGTATTCAGCAGTGCATCGCAGGTGTCCTTCTGGGGCTACCAACAGTGTGCGTGTGTGTGTGTTGGGGGAGATGTGGTAGGGTGGATGTTGGTTGTCAGGGTGTCTAGACAAACTTGATAAGGATATTAAAGGCAAACAAAAGGCAGCTTTGTGACAGGGTCACAGACATGGTCAAACGAGCCTCCTTTCAGGGCAGCGGGGGTCAGTGTCCAGGGCTAGTTGTCCTCCAATGGGACGAGGGGAGGAGTTGGTGCGTCGCCTGTGAACTTGACGCTCATTTGTCTTGTTGTTTTTGCATGATTGCTCTTTATATTTTCATGTCTTGATTTTTTTTTTCTTGATCATATTCATGTCACACTGTTGTTGTTTTCGCCTGTATTTATTTATTTGTGAATTAAAAAAAAAAATTCTACTGGCGGTGACTTCAGGTTGTGTGTAAAATAGTGCCATCGAGCTCAATTCCTCATTTCAACCAACAATGCAGTGAGCATTGCTAGTGAAAGTTATATATTGTATTACTAATTTAATTACAATCACAATTTAAAAGGAACAAAGTTATTGTGGGGAACTTTAAAAATAATTGACAGTTTTTAATTGCTTGCAATTGCTGGAAATGATTTAAGTACATATTTGTTAACCCCAAGTAGCCAATGAAAGTGATGATCAGCAAAAAAGTCTTTGATTGGCGATCACGTCCTTTTACACGAAAGTTCACCGATCATAATCGGTGGTCAGTTGATTGGAGCCCAATAAAATTAATGTGATTATATGGTTCCCTTTTTTCCAGATTTGAAAATATACAGCTAATCCATGCGATCAGTATTGGCAGATCTCACTCATATCTGATCGAAAGGGAATGCATAACACCCTGATTGGAGCACCCCTTGTTGGAACCTTTTCAAAATGATTTTAATGAAGAACTTGAATTGTGAATTTACGAGTCGTAACTCCTGCAGTGCAGAATGAGGAACAGTGGTGTGCTGACGTTGTGCAATAGTTCAAGGTCAAGTTTTATTTATATAGCACATTTAAACACAGTAAACAATGCTCAAAGTGCAGTGCATATTACAATACAACACTATAAAGTCACACAATAGCGAGAAAGAAAAATACATGTTAAAAACAATAGAAAAATACAAATTTAAAAACCATGTCCAGCTCATGCCCGTGTTGAACGGCAGCGCAAATAAATGTGTTTTTAAAAGTGACGTAAAATATTCAATGGATGAGGGAGAGCGAATGTTCAAAGGAAGCTCCTTTCAAAGTTAAGGTCTAGTGACAGCAAATTCCCTGTCCCCCCTGGTTTTCAACCTTGAACGGGGGCAGGTTAACAACAGCTGGTCACATGACCGGAGGGCTCTTACTGGGGCATACAAGCAATGCATTTTAGATAAGTATATGATAGCCAGACCGTTGCAAGATTTGAACACAAACAATAGCATTTTAATCTAAAAGATGCAGGGAGCCAATAAAGTGACTGCAGCACTGGAGTAATGAGATAAAAGCCTCTTTCTTCCTTTCAGAAGGTGAGGAGGTGTATTGTGAACCAACTGTAGGCGACGAATGTATGAAGCATCCAGGCCATTGTACAAGGAATTGCAATAGTCAAGACATGCTGTGATAAATATGTTAATTTGTTTTTCCAGCTGGTCACAAGGAGAGTAAAGTTTTACTTTAGCTCTCAGTTGCAGCTGAAAGAAGCTTGGCCTTACCACTGCGCTGATTTGCTTATCGCGTTTAAAAGAACTGTCAATCTTAACACCAACATTTTTTTTACACAGGAACTGAGGAACACCAACATCAATGGCATGATCTGTCTGGTTCACCAAACACAATTACTTCAGTTTAGGTCACATTTCAGTTAATAAAATTCAATTTCAGCCAATCTTTCATTTCTTTCAGACAGATTTGAAAGGACTGGAATGAACCACCTTTCGACATGAGTGGTATATATAGCTGAATATCCTCAAAAGACTGAAAGGAGACTTTATATTTCTTGAAAATTGAAGTGAGTGGTAACATATACAAGGAAAACAAAGCCGGGCCCAGTATAGAGCCTTGGGTTCCCATGGTCCATACAGAGTCCACCTTGGTGAAGACTGCAGGGAAAGTACTCCTCCGCAGCTGGAACTAACAGCCGAGCCACTGCAGTGTCATCAACAGGCACAAGGGTATAGATCCCCCGCCTTCTCAGGTTCAAAATGCCCCCATATTTTGGGCTTAAACAGCACGGAAGCACGGAGATAGGCTCTCGTCCGCACTGAGATGGCGCTACGCTTTCCTCATTTATGGGGACGTCTCCGGAGAGCCACGAGAGGTGCACCACACAGGTCCTCTGGTATGGCAGAGAAAGGAGGAAGAGAATATGTGTAATCTCCATTCGGATTTTTGTCTTTTAAACAATTCATGAGATACACGGATATCAATATGAGTCTGTCAATCATACATGAGAAGGGGTGAAACATTTTTGCAAATGACAACCAAGACAGTAATCCCTTGTTTAAACCGCAAGGTAGAATACAGTATGCGAGACAGTCAACAGCGTGGACGAGACTCGCTAGAGACAGCAAGGGTAGGTGCTGGGTGAGGCTGCGATGATGCGCTGCCATCTTGTTTGTCCCTCTACAGTACTGCGCCCCCCCCCCCACATGACAACGATTGCATATGCATTGATGCATTACGTGACAATGGAATACGAATTATGTTTGGATCGCATCTTGAGGGTTGCCAAACAATATGTTACATTGTATGACTTTTTATTAATCCAGAAAAAGATGGTGGAAGTACTAGTCACACAGCAAGGAAAAAAAAAATACAGAGAGGAAATAAATTGGCATTGATTTGAAATTGATAATCAACAATTGCATTGATTTGTAGCCCTCTGACTTAATGTAATGGAATTCTGAAGTAGCAAGAGATTCCCACCAATTAGTAGTATTCATAAGCAGAGATTTGTCCCTTGGGGGTCATCCATGTGAACCTGAGTGTTTTTTTTTTGTGTCCTGACAGGAGCTGAAGAAGCTTGGGCTCGGCACTGAAGTGGACTTGCAGGTCTACGAGGTTCCAGTGGAGTACCAAACAGTGCAGAGTTTAGTTCCGTCACTATGGAAGAAGTATCACCCAATGGTCAGTGAGAGACTGTTTGAAACAATGAAATCAATTGCGGTTGTTAAGTCCAAGTTGAATTTGTCAGCACAGATGAAGCAAAAAATGTCATCAGTTGTCTGGTCATTCAAGGTAGCAAGCATCGTGGTGGCTGACTTGACTTCGAATTTAGAGTGGCCTGACATATCCTTTGTGCGCAGAAGCGTGCTGACAGACTTAAACTGGAGACAATATTCCGTTTCCAGTGTTCAGGTGCACTGCTCCACCGCTTAAGTGCACCTAAACATGTTTTTTTCAAAACCGCCTCAATTTGTGTTCTTTCTTTCCCACTCCTATTGTGGCACAGATGTTACAATTCTTCGTTGACGAATCAATCCGCTTATCACAACGACGTCACGGTTGGACTTTGCCAGTTCATAACAAGCAAATGCAATCTGAACTGAAACGTACTGTTTGGTGGAAATGAGGATTTCCCCCACTACAGTATTATCAACCACAGTTGTATGATACCTGAAATACGCCGAAACACAATGTGGTCTACTGATTCATTAACAGAAAATTGGCACGAACACGAATCAATACGGGATGGCACACATTGTTAGTTGTTGCATGGGACGAGTATGCAGACCATCCTGCAGAGTGTTATGCAGCCTGCTGTAGACAGTTACTCCAATGTGTTTGTGGCTGGTATTGAACTGTAATCATCATGCCAGCTTTGCATTGTCACAGAGATTCCTGAAGGTTGAATTCTAGGCTCAATGTCGTCATCATCATCTATAATGCTGCTTTGACAGTCTAATTTCCCTCACTGCATGAATAAAGTATCTTATCTGACTTTAAGTAAATATTGGCTGAGAGTAGCTGAAGAAGGTTTCCTCAATGGAACTTAACACTCAGCACAAAAAGGAGGAGTCGGACAAAGTTGAGGAAATAGATTTTATTCTTGCTTGCCTCATTCTGTCATGATCTCCTTCAAGTTGCTGAATATGCTTGTTTTAATGGTGTCCTTCTGACCCCACTTTTGTGACACTAATGTGGCACCTCCAGCCCCCCATACTTGCTGAGTTGACTCCGTCATGATGTTATCTTCTTGATGTGTGAGGTTCATTTCCTGCCAGCTGGGTGACCTACTTTTAATAGAGTCAGGCCATCTTCAACTAGCTGAAGTTTTAAAGCAAGGCCTGGGTTACAATGGGATCACAAATTGCCGGGACTTTTTTTTTGGGGGGGGGGGGGTTGAGAACAACAGACATTGTCATTGCAGATGAAAGAACATTCAATCCAAACAAAATCTGAAAAAGAGACATCACATTTAGCTTCTGAAAGTGTTGGGGGAAATTCTTTTTTTGACTCTCAAAAACTTGAAATTAAATTGCTTACTGAGGCTATGCTACTATATGTCACTTTTAGATACTGTACATCTGAAACTGGTTGTGACACAAATGCTTACTCCATCCACCCATCCATCCATCCATCCATTATCTGATCCGCTAATCCTCACGAAGGTCACGGGCAATTAACCGACCATGCATGTTTTTGAAATGTGGAAGGAAACCGGAGTATCCCGAGAAAACCCACGCAGGTACAGGGAGAACACGCAAACTCCACACAGGAAGGCCGGGGACAGAAATCAAACCCACAACTTATGGACTGTGAGGCGGATGTGCTAACCAGCCTATCACTGTGCCGCCCTTGTCCCAAATGTAACTGACCAATACTGTATTCCACACACACAAATACTATGTGGCGTACAAATTACTCATGAACAGCCCTAGTTTGCATACTACTGGATTTGGACTTGATGTAAAATCCAAATTGATCTAAGCATCTAATACACAATAAAACCAGTCAAACGTGCATGGTCCTTAAAATTACATGAAATTATGCAACATATTACAAATTCATGCCTGCTGTGGATTATACTTGTGTTGTTAAGGATTTTTTATTTGACATGGCATATTATTTGTTAATTTGACACCATTATTTTCTGTACACCATCCAGTATAATACACCCTATTTGCTCTTCTTTTTGCTATTTTCCAGCTGGTTGTTCATGTTGGAGTATCAGGCATGGCCACCACTGTCACATTAGAGAAGTGCGGCAGAAATCATGGCTACAAGGGTTTGGACAACAGCAGCTTCTGTCCTGATTCACAGTGTTGCATTGTGGGCGGCCCAGACTGTATTGACTCCGTTATCGACATGGAATCAGTCTGTAAGAGAGTGACTGCCTCTGGGCTGGGAGTTGCTGTGTCTGTCTCTAAAGATGCTGGAAGGTATTTTTCTGTTTATTTTTGTTTAAGTTAAACAGGAATTTGTCATGGGTGCAGGTTTTAGTGGCTGGCTTTAATTTCTGAGGGAAAGCAATATGTACAGAGTAACACCCAGTAGTGTTTGGAGAGTGACATATAATTTTGCCTATAAACACCTCCATGATGATTTTGAACTCAGACAATCTTAGGCGGTTTCAGAAAAACATGACATTGACCGTGAAAGCACTGTGGCCATTTATATACAGAGTGCCAATTCCCAGGAGTTCCAATTTCTTGGGATATTAAAAGATTCTAGTCGTATATAAAGGCAAAATGATGAAAAGCTATTGTCATGGCCCCAATATCCAATTTTTGAGGATATTAAAAAATTTTGGTCGTATATAAAGGCAAAATGCTGAAAAGCTATTGTCATGGCCCCAACATCTTAACCTGTATGTACATTCACCTGTTTAAGTAGAAACTGCTTTCAAATATTTACATTACTTGAGGAAAGGGAGTATTTATCAGAATTGAACACATAGCTGATGTACTGAATAAAGCCTCAAATGAACCGAGGCTGTTCAATAAAGTCTGTGCACAGTATGTGGTGGGAGAGAGGCGTGCAAAGAAAAAGATATCAACACACTATTGTGAGATATAGTGACCAAGTGTGTAATCTGATTCTGTGTAGTGCACAACACAAAAACCACACAGCAGCGTAAATTCAAGACCCTCTTGAGGGATTATAATCAGTTTTATAAAAACTAAATGGAAGAACACTACACATTTGTAAATATTTACATCCACTAAAGTAGTCTACATCCATTTAATTACTTTAGGGATGAGCAATTTAAATGAGGGGCAAAATTTCCAGAATCAGCACGACTTGGGGGCCACATAGGACCAGACACTTCCCAACCAGATGTACTGTATGACAAATATTTTTTTTGGAATAGTGCATCATGGTATCTTCATTTTTTACAATGCATGCAAATAAGATCCATCCTTGAACAGTAAAGGGTTTCACCGATGAAAAAACTAACTGCAGACTGATTTTTTTTTCAGCGCGAAGGGCTCTCATGCATAAAAATTACCATTGAAAGACAGAACAACTGCTGAAAAAAACTCATTTTGTGCATTTTTTTCCACAAAAATCAACAACACTAAAACTTGTAATTTTACACAGGTACTGTGTTTATCCTGCATGCAAATCCAAATGCGCAAAAAAATATTAGGCCTACTCATGCTGTATTACGGATGTCCACTGTATACGGTGTATACAGTGGAAGTCCGTGATTTGAAGGAGATACAAACTGGGCCGGCCTGCGAATAGCAAAAATCTGCACAAAATTGAAAATGCATTGGGATACTTTTTAAAATTATTATTTTTGAAAACCCCCCCAAAACTAAAAAATATGCAGCCCATTTACATTTTTTCATGAAAAACGGGGTTTTGATCCTCAATCCAATCCAATACAATACAATGCAGTCAGTCTCAATTACAAGTAGTGTAGGGTTTAGTGATTTTTTTTTTTCTATTGCTAGTGTTTGCTATTGGAATACAATAAAAGGGGTGTTCACACGGCATACATTTGATCCGGCGCTGCACCGATGTATTTTGTTGCGATATAGTTTACACCGGAGCAAATTTTGTGGAGCGTTCACACGTACAACGCCGCTGAGCGTGGCAGCACCAGCACAGCGTCGGTGCAGCTCCACTTGCGTTCACACGGCAGTTTCTGCAGCAGAGCAAAACGACAGAAAACAAATGAGCTGTCGTGTTGGTTCTTTTTTAAACGTATACACAACTCAAGCAACTACAGTACAGGCACGTCCTTCTCCTTCTCGGTCTCCGTGCCTTCTGCTTGAGAGTGACCGCCCCCCGATAACGTAAATCAACGATGACTTCAATGCACTCAGAAAAGCACAAATCTAATGCGCCAAACCGAAAAATCAAGTGAGGAAATCATGAAATAAATTCTATGGGGCACGGGGGGGTTGTGAACAAACAACAAAGGAACAAACTACACAAACAACTCCGAGACAGTCTCGGACTTAAACGAAAGGAAACTCTACGTAGTTGGAGTCTTTCGTCTTTCGTCTTTCGTAGGAATACTCCTACGAATTCTAGTTGAGATGGTATAACCCAAGAGGTGCTTTGCTACTGTTACCAGCCTTGTCTTGTGTCGTTATTAAACAAACACATGACGAAAGTCCGACAGAGCACGAAAGCAACGCATTCTCGCCGTACGTAATCAACTCTTCTCATGCGTAGCAAGGCTACTCCCCCGTCGCAAACGAGCATTTGCTCCGGAGCAAATTGTAGCGTTCACACGTGCAAATTTACATCAGTGCTGCGCAGCAAACGAGCATTTGCTCTGGAGCAAATTTTTAAACCACCTCCCTGAGGTGGATCAAATTTGGTCCGGTGTAAGCTGTTTAGCGGCGCGACGCCGGAGCAAATTTGCACGTGTGAACGCTCAACTGGCGCAGCGCAGGTGCTGTGTCGGACCAAATGTTGCCGTGTGAACACCCCTTAAGACTTGGCAGTCATAGAACACAGGCTTCCGCCAAGGTAAAACAAGTCTCAACATGTCAGTCTGACTTGTTTGATTGAAAAATCACCATCTTCTCGCCCCTTTGTCTTTCAGAGTCACGGGCTTTGCTCACTTGCCTTTTCTTGCAGGTATCTGTGTGACTTCACCTACTACACCTCCCTGTACATGAGCCACGGTCGCTCGGCCTTCATTCACGTGCCTCCTCTTGGCAAGCCGTACAGCGGTGAAGACCTGGGCCGCGCGCTGCAAGCCATTGTCCAGGAGATGCTGGAACTCCTGGGTAACGCCAAGGAGCAGATTCACTGCCAGCAACACTTCCACTAAGTGACCTCTCGATGCCAGCCAGCCTCTCCAGCCACGCAAGACAAATTGCACTCAACCACAAGTAGCCAAGTTCTGTCTTTTTCTTATCTTTTCTTATATAATGAAAGCTTTGGTGTGTTTCACTCTCTGTCCTTGCTTTGATTTTACTATTTTGCCCCTCAATAATCAAGAAATGTTATGATATTGTCCCACTTTAAGGTGATTTAGATGTGTGAATATGTTTAGATTTACCTCCAAAGCACAGGAAGCTTTGTTGTTCACAAAAACTGCAGTTGCTACAGAGTGTAGCAGATTCAACACAGCATTACTCCAAATGTGGCTACTAGTATTGCACCTTATAGTGTTAGGGTTATTGACATGGTTACAGAAGTCACATTTGGCAACCTTAAATGGGCTGAAAAAGGAATTTTTCAGCCATACATTGCTGAATTTTTGCCTTATTCATATTACCAAAGCTTCCAGGTTACTTCTGTTGATGTATTTTTTTTTCATCCTCAATACATCACTCGCCACAAGTCGGCAGATTATCAGTGTGAACACTTATATGTGATTCAATAAGTATATTCATGTAGAAATCTTTAGCATAAACCATGCAGTTCCTTTCTTATATTCTCTCGATCTTCTCCTAATTCTATCTGTGCTATTTCACATTTGATGTTGAATTGTTTCTGGACTCGTTTTCTTTATAAGAAGTTGTGAATTTACCTTCTTTTACAAAGGTGATTTGAAAGTGGGAACGGGTTGGTTCCGGCTCACATTCCCTCAGTTTTGTTGCCCATTTCTGACCAGTAGCCAAGAATTCAGCCCTCGGAGATCTGATCAAAGGTTGTGCAATATGATGTTAACAGATCTCCTCCAGTTCTTTTGGTTTACTAGGCTGCATGATTATTCGAAAAAAAAAAAATCATTGTGTCTGATGTCTAACCAATAATATTGGATAGACTGTAGTTTGAGGCATGTCCGTCTCACAGTTCTGAGGTCGGGGATTTGAATCCAGACACCGGCCCTCCTGTGTGTGGAATTTTCATGGTTAACAGTTAATGTAAATGGTTGCTTGTCTATATGTGCCCTGTGATTGGCCGGCGACCAGTTCAGGGTTCAGTTTTAAACTCAACCGTGATCATGGATGAGTGATAAAGCAAATGAATGGATGTAGAAAAAAAAAATCCCACCAGTTCACTGTTTTTCCCCCTACCCCAAATTGTGCAGCCTGAAACCATTTTCATTTTTTAAAGGTTCCAAAGGTCATTTACAGCTGCTCAAGTAACACAACAATCCATGTGACATCCATGGGACATTGTGTCAAGTCAGATTTGGGCCGGAAATTATGGTTTCTATAGCACTTTCTTGTTTTTCCACTTTTAGTTGATTGCTATTACAATACGGTGCTGAACATAAAGACTTGCACCCCAACATACTCGTATACATACTCGTATCCCTGGAGTTCTTCTCAATGTTTTCTATGGTATAGTGTACCACAAAATACTGCCTTGAATGTGGGCCATCGATTGCAGATGAGATTTGTCAGCGTGCAAGACATGAGAATGGCATTTTTCTAACAGATTCAATTATGGTTGCAAAAATACACACCAACCTTAGATTTTTTTTTTTTAATGTAACAGTTTTACCAAGGATTTGTCCTATCAAAATTCTGAAAATGTTTCATGTCTACTGAGAGATTGATAAAAACTTATTTTTCAAGGGGGTGTCCGCCTTTATATTGAGTAGCGTATGTTACCTAATAGACAAACATCCACTGTTGAAAGTAATTGCCGTCAATGTTGTACCTTTGAGTTATTTCGCTCAATAATATTAACTAATGTAGCAAATCCCTCGAGTCTATGGTGGTGCCACTTCCAGGTTTGAATGTGATTCTACTTCTTTGGCTTTTTTTTTTGTCTTCTGTTTGACCATGTACAACATTGGTGGTTCATCACCATGACATTGAAATCTGATTTTCGAACAGAGTTGTAGTTGTGTATAGTTTCTACAACCTGAATGCCTCAAATGGTTATGTATGTGGAAAAGCTGAAACTTTGGAGTAAATAGTTTTGGCTAGAAAACTGACCCAACACTGTCTTGTGTTGCAGCTTATACAGTGCCTTGAGAAATTATTCATCCCCAGTTACTCCAGCCCATCACAAACTGGAGTGTATTTTGTTTGATAGACCAACACAAAGTTGCACATAATTGTGAAGTAGAACGAAAGTGATATATGGTTTTCAAAATTCGAAGCGCATATAAATCTGAAATGTGTGGTGTGCATTTGTATTCAGCACGCTGTACTCTGATACCCCTTAATAGAATCCACTGCAAACAGTTGCCGTCATAAATAGGGTTATTAGTAAATACAGTAGTTCATTTGTATGTAATTTACTCTTGAGTATCAGTGCACATGTTCTGTGAACCGCCTCAGCGGGTTGTTATAGAACACAAGTGAACAACAGCACCATGAAGACCAAGGAACTCTCTAGACAAGTCAGCGATAAACTTGTGGGGACATTTAAAACACTGTTTGGGCTCGCACGCACGCACGCACGCACGCACGCACGCACACACACACACACAAACTTATATTGCAGATCCCCGGCCCAAGCACATAGTCAAGGCATTGTTACAAAATAATGCTCACAACCCCGAGGCTGGTCAGAGTTGATGGAAGGATAGATGGAGCAAAATACAGGCCAATCTTAGAAGAAAACCTGTAGCAGACTGCAGAAGATTTAAGATTGGGGAAAGTAATTCATCTCCCAGCAAGACAATGACCCTAAAGCCAGAGCTACAATAGAAAGGTTAAAACAAAGTGTTTGATTGGTCCAGTCAAACTCCAGACCTAAATCCCACTGAGCACCCGTGGCAAGACTTTAAAAAATGTTGGGTGTTAGAGACACCCCAAAAGACTTGCAGCTGTACAAAGTATTGATGCCCGGGTGCTGAATACTAATGCATACCACATTTCTTTTTCAGATTTTTAATTGTCTAACATTTTGCAAACTATCAGAATTATTGCTTTCACAGTGATGTGCTACTTTTGCGACATTCATACAAAATCACTAACGAATAGTGTGAGGGTTGTAGTTGTTAGGTGACAAAATGTGGAAAAAAATGCCAGGTGTATGAATACTTTTTCAAGGCACTATTGGGTTGTCTCATGCCTTTCGGTTCTAGTTTGGCTTAATCCATGAGTTAGGCCAGTCAATTCATTTTCTTTTTTGTCATTAAGTAGCAATCAGTAACCTGGAGCAGAACTTGTACAGTACTTAGCACATTTATTAAACCACAACCCAGTGTATGGTTTATGGCAAATCTGCCCTAAAATAATATCAATGGTAATTACCAGTAATGTAATTCTAATGGTAAAAAAAATAAATACAAAGCATATATATTTTTTCTTGATTAGGGTGTGAAACTATTGCTATTCCTGAAGGGAAACAAAAAAAAAATGATTTGGCGGTGCAATATTCTGGTTGACTAATTTCTAATTTCTCAGAGAAGTTGAGTGAGTCAGCCCAGGCATAAAAAGGTGAATTCATTTTCAATTTCATTATATTTCAAATTCCTCATCGCTCTTCAAAGTAGTAAAATGTAAAGAGCTCACCTAAACAGAAAAAGTCTGCATTAAAGCACTATATCGCTAAGGTGCTGGATGTTCTGTTCTCGATTTTATGACAGGTGGTGTAATACATGTGTTAAGCACTGTACATAGCCTTACTCTGTCAAATGATTAATTGCTGATTGGACAAGTTTTCAGAGTTGCTAGGCGCTAATGTTTAATGGGGTGTGGCATTGTGAGTGCAAGTATGTGAATGGGTCGTGCTGCACCTCATAGCTGCTCACAATTGTATAGCTAGTTTGTTTCAAGTGACTTCTAGCCCTTTTAACTCCTGTGCCTTGCTGTTATTTATTTTTCTTTGGATAAGGCCTTAATTCAGAGGTAGGGATCTCCGGTTCTTCGAGAGCCATATCCTGCCTGTTTTAGATCTCTCCCTACTCCCAACACACCTGATTCAATTGAGGATGATTGTTTCAGGCTTCTACAGAGCGAGCTGATGAGCTGATCGTTTGAATCAGGTGTGTTGAAGTGGAGAGAGATCCAAAATTGGCAGGATATGGCTCTTGAGGAACGGGAGTTCCCTTCCGCTGCCTTAAATGTCGGGTGGCCGGTCAGTTCAAAGATATATTTGGATATATTCCAGGCAAATGTGTGGCTACCTCAAACCTATTTTTTAATCTCAATGTGGGCGCAACATTATGACTGTGAGTTATTCTAAGTACTGTACCTCTGTAAGGGAACATCCCATGAAAGGCCTGTTCTCTGCTTCTGACATTATCAAAGCACTGTTACAATAAGTAAGATTGGCTTTATAAGAGGAAAAGGCTTTTAAATAAAGATAATTGAAATGTTGAAAACTAATTGATGTGTCACATTTTATTTACAAAAAACATTTTGCAACTGTTATCTTATGAAACTGCTGTTATAATTGTACACCTGGAAATATTTATTCTATTACATATCCATTGAATATCATGAATTTATAATATTGCTACAATAATTCTACTATTGTTAAGAAAATGGACATACCGATGGCATTAAGGTCATCATATTTGAGAGGTAGGTATTCTCGTTGACTGTCCAAGTTTGGTACAAATACCATTACCTGTAGTGGTATGCTAAAGAATCACCGGCCAAGTTCACTTCTGATGTATTTAAACTAATTCATTTGTATTTACTCTTATATGGTGTTTTAAACATTTATTTAGGTACAATTAAACATTTTATGTGTGATACATACATACAAATAAATATATATAGGTAATTTAAGTGTGGCGTTTATGTTCAAATCTTTGCCTTTCGACTAGTGGGCTGCATAGAACATATTCTTGTAAAGATATTTTTAGGGTTGACTTCCCCTTTAAGAGTGGAAGTTTAAGATGCAGTACATTTATACATAACAAGACAATCTTAGCAATTAAACAAGAGTTGCCCCTTTTCGACATATTTTCCTCGTGCAGGGATGTCCAAACTTTTTCCTCTGAGGGCCACATACAGAAAACGAGAAGAAAGGGCCAGTTTGAAAGTTTTTTTTTTTTACTTACTAAACACACTAAAACCTGAAAACCAGTCAAGCAATTACACATGTTTTATGTGAAATAATGTTATTTGGAAAAAAATGCTACATCAGGGATTTCTGTTCAAGGTGACAGAGCAAGTACTTGAGGACCTAGAGTAGATCTGTATTTCTGCTGAATAGCAGTTGAATCCCATTTCCACATTCAGAACCATAACCAAGAGCAAGCTCAACTAAATTGACCATACTTGAGGATGATTAATGTGACATCTACACAAATTGCACTAAACTGAAAGTGGAGGAAACCATTTTTGTTTCTGAAACTGGATTATCTTTATTCTCTACAGAAATTCTATTGCTATTGTAGCTGTCATTTATTTATGTCTTTGCATATCTATCCATCCATCCATTTTCTGATCCGCTTATCCTCACAAGGGTTGTGGGCATGCTGGAGCCCATCCTACAGACAAACAACCATCCATGCTCTCACTCACACCCAGGGACAATTTAGAGTGTTCCATTAACCCGCCATGCATGTTTTTGGAATGTGGGAAGTAACCGGAGTACCCGGAGAAAACCCAGGCAGGCACGGGGAGAACATGCAAACACCACACAGGAAGGCCGCAGCTGGAATCGAGCCCTGCACCTCTAAATTGTGAGCCCAACGTGCTCACCAGTCGACCACCAGGCCGCCCCCTTTGAATATCTAGAAAAGCTTTAGTAGTAGTAGTAGTGGTGGAAGTCCCAATCAGAGGTGGTCATTCCGTCAGACTGACGGAAGGCCTTTCAATCCATCACAGTTTCTGAGAGTATTTCAGGCCGACACACGTGGGCACAGTCATATGTGCACAGCATGGTGACTGGTGAAATCAAAATAATATGGGATACATCTCATTGAGGTCTGAGGGACTGAAAGGTATACACCACTTTTAATTGTTCTCATACTGTATTTGACTGTGTGTCAGGTGTGTGTGATGTAGTATTGGTAAGTCCTGTCTTGATGCCATTTGGCTGTCGGTGACCACTCAGACGGACTTACGTAAGCTCAAAGACGGACACACCGGACTGATGATGCTGACCTCTGGTCCCCATCACTCACATCACCCTAATTTTTTCAACAGCTACACTTATAACAATGCCCACACCCTTTTTTAAAATAGCATTGCAGGCCATGTAAAATGTTATTTTTACTGTGTGCTGTGGACCAAAAACACCACAAACACCACAAACACAAAAGAATGAACGGGCCCATGGGCCACAGTTTGGATATCTTGTCCTGGTGCAAGTAATCATATTTGATCTTTGTGGCAAATTACCGTTTCTCTATGACAATAATTATGATCCATCAAGCGCTAATTCAATTTATCCAGCTGTATTTAGAAAAAAAACTAAACAATGAATCCTATTTCATTCGTTATCAGTGAAATATGTTGTTGGGAAGTCTTTGACTCTCCAGTAATCTTTTACAATTAAATCTCCGTTTACAAAATTGTATAGAGAAGGTAAAGGAATAATTTCCGAAGATAATTCAACCAAGTGAAGTGAATTGTCCTTTCTGCCAAATAAACTCAAGTGCAGTCACGTAACAGTGGGCCACAAAAAGGCTGGATTACTTGCATGTCTTTGACGTTTACCTCGCAAAGCTTTTTTTGGCGTTTGTCTTTCGACACCCGGAAACGAGCCCTGAGTGAGAGCTCTTCATGTGTTCGCCTCTCTCTGCTTCTCACTGTAAACGTAAGGGACGTCACACGTCGAGCGCCGCACAGAAATACGTCGCTACTGGACCTCCATCAAGGTTCTGTTCGGTACCATTTTACCTGCTCCGGCTTTACCAACAGACTTTTCGTGTCGAGTTCACGTTACTGCAGCGTCAAGCACATAAGGCGCGGAGTGTATAACTATTTGGACGAACGCCCGAGAACACTTGACTGCACCGAAAGTTGAGTCGAGATGAGTGTGGAGGCGTACGGGCCAAGCTCCCAGACCCTCACCTTCTTGGACACCGAGGAAGCGGAGTTACTCGGAGCGGACACCCAGGGTTCCGAATACGACTTCACCGACTTCACCCTCCCGAGCCAGACTCAAACCCAAGGCCAAACTCAGAGTCAGCTGGACGGCCAGGTTTGCATCTGTTTTTGCCAGGAAGAAACATCCTCGCGCGGTGTACTGACGTTAGCCGAAGCTAGTTAGCTGCTAAACGTTGCATGCTATGCTAACCCGCTATTATTGGACGTGTGCGACTGTTAGCTTGTTGCTAAGCTACCCTGCCGTCTACCCTCCAAAGTATTCATGTGTGCCTTCCTTTTGGTACATTTTGATGGAGCTCACTGCGCATACTTGTTACCTAACTGAATGTAATAGAAAAACGTGCTTTGACAATATGGCGACCTTAACGAAACTTTGTTCAAGCGTCTTTTCCGCAATGTGATTTCTCGCTGCTACTGTTAGCTTCGAGTTGTTAGCATAACACGTTATCGCTATGCTATTCTGGATGTAAAGCTTGAGTTGCGCCGCAGGTTAACGGTCCTGATGAGGGTCTCCACAACGGTGGAGTGGAAGACTCTGTGGCCAAAGCGAGCCAGCTGTTGGCGGAACTCAATTTTGAGGAGGATGAAGAAGACGCCTACTACACCAAGGACCTGCCCGTGCACGCTTGCAGGTACACTTGACAGCAACACGTAGCCAATACCGAAGGATGCATGCATATTAAACGCACTGGGTGGGATACAACATTGGATTGAAAGCAAATGCAGAAACAATCACCATCGTTAAACTATTAAATGTAGTTAGACTTTGCTTCTAGGAAAAAAATATGAAGTAGCGCTTGAACTAATAATAAGTGCCACAAGTATAATAACACGCTTCACATGTGCTAAATCATATTTCTATCACAATACTGTAAATGGCCAATGGGTGCCTTTGCAAACAACCACATTAAACTCTGTTGACTTGTGGCCACCAGACAAGCTTCTTCTAATGTTGTTTTAACTTAATATATGGAAGTACTGTATGCAAAAAAAAAATGACATGACTGGATTCCCCCCCCCCCCCTTTTCATATAATCTCTGGCTCCACACCATAATTAGTCAGACAAACTTCTCTTGCATAGGAGCAGGTTAATTAATACCGTATTCAAGAACATTAAGCATGTATGTTTTTCTATGTTTTCTGTGGTTTGACTACATCCATGAAAATCTACATGTTGTCCACCATTGTTTTTCAGCTATTGTGGCATTCATGATCCAGCCTGTGTAGTGTACTGCAACACTAGCAAAAAGTGGTTCTGCAATGGACGTGGAAATACATCTGGCAGGTATGTTGGCATTCCATCTGCACCTTAGTGGAACCTAAAATGGCAAACACAATCTGCTCAAGGATTCTGGTCAACCTCTGACTTTGATTTTATGTAAGCAATGCTTTTCCCTTCGGAAATAACATGATACGGCACCAGACTGTCTGGGCCATAAAACCTTTATTAACACACTTCCAGGCAAGCAAGTAATGAGGGCCGAACCATTTATTAGGCCGGCCGATTAAATTAGCCGATTATGGCCCTTAAAACATCGGCCCAAATAATCGGTTAAATGGCTGATGTTTGCCGATTGTTTTTACCCTTATGTAGTCTAACCATTTACAGCACTTGTAAATGAGTAACACAGGTCTCATTCATTCATTATACATAAATCCTTTCCATAATCTTGCATCTTTAGATATATGTAATTAAGTTTATTGATAATGTCATTCTTTGGACCTAACACTCAAATCAACAGCAAATCTTTATTTTTGCAAGCAATGCTTCAGTGACCAATGCACGTTGCTCAAGGACTTGACCTGGGTGTCCCCATTTTAGACACAATGTAAAGTCACAGTTTGTCTCCAAAAATAATAAATAGTAAAATTAAAATGTAAATCAAAACATAAATGTATGATATATGATACACGTTCAACTACTGGTAACACAAACGCACATGACAAGTATTATTGTCCTTATAACTTCATTAATTATATAAAGTGCGCCATGCGGTAAAATTGCTCACCCTTCCAATACGTGTGACATGGCCCTAGCATTTAAGGAAGTTACAAGATGGCTTACTGAACACAAATTTACTTTACGCTGTCTTTCTTAATGTTGTTAACAATGATATAAATGTAACAAAAAAAGGTTGAACGCTGTATATCAAAATTTATAAAACTGACATTGCTTGAAGGATGTGATGCATTTTCAACTTAATGGGGTGAGGATTACTGCGTTTACCTAGCACGTGAGTATCTTCACGAGAAGACTATTCAGAGCTGACTTTCCAATTCACCATTCCATTCTTTCATATGGATGATGAAAGTTGCTTTAGCCCAGGCGCCTTAAACTCGCGGCCTGGAGGCCATTTGAGGCCAGCAAGAAGATATTTTGAGGCCCCCTATTTGACATTAAAGTTATTTTTTTCATCATTTATGGGATACCATAGCTCAGGTTCATGACAGCTTTAGGTGAAATGCAATTTTAAAATGATACCAAGTGGAAGGAAAAGATCCCGTTACCCAGTCATGTCTTTTTAATAACCTGCTAAGAAGAGAAATGTAGGCAACAACAACAGCCAATTTCAAGAAAAGCAGAGATGGAATGTTTTTTTTTTTTTTTTTTTAAAGGCCGAAATGTCATCACCTAGCAGACAATTTGCTCTTAATTACTGTAGTGGGGTGGTGCATAATATTGTCTAGTTCTGTTATCAGCACACTCCTCTTTGCCATTACCTTAACCCTGCTGCGGTACCCTCACAAAAAAGTTCGGAAAAAGCAAACGCGTGTAATCCTTTAAACTCTGCTTTTCATATTTTGTTTCCTGAAACTGGTGTTTGGTTTGTAGTTTGTCTACATTACTTTTAAAGTGTTTGAACTCAGAGATTCCATTGTATGACAGAAATCATGAAATACAGTAAACCCTTTGTAACCATTCTCAACGTCTGACTTGTAGCCACATAGTAAACCATTTGGTGAGAGCCAAATGCAAAGAGGTGACACTTCACAAAGATGGACCCTTGGGTGAGACTGTCCTGGAGTGTTACAACTGTGGGTGCCGCAATGTCTTCCTCTTGGGTTTCATCCCTGCCAAGGCTGATTCTGTCGTCGTGCTGCTCTGTAGGTAAGACTTGTACTGAAACACAATGTCCTATGAATCTTGTCTCTTCACACCAAATTAGTTTTTAGTGTCTTGATGCTGAGATAATCGATGGTGTCCAATTCATGACTAAATAGATAATCAAGTGGAAGAGTAGCCAGCACTTTGTCATCATTTTACAGTCTTGTAGGTTTATTTTCAAAGCAAAGCTGTTGGCAATATTTGACTATTAAACACATACAGTATTTTCTCTTAGCCATTAACTGGATAATTTAAATTGATATGTTGAAACTACTTGGTGTTTATGACAAATACAGTAGCCAAAAAAAACCCAAATAAAATACTGCGTTTTATATTGGCTGTATACAACTCTGGTCCGCTGGTCACAAACAAGGCAATGTGGTCCCGTCTGTCTGAACATCACATCTCCCCACAGACAGCCTTGTGCTAGCCAGAGTAGCCTGAAAGACATCAACTGGGATAGCTCCCAGTGGCAGCCGCTGATCCAAGACCGCTGTTTTCTCTCATGGCTGGTGAAAATCCCATCGGAGCAGGAGCAGCTGCGCGCCCGGCAGATCACCGCCCAGCAGATCAACAAGCTGGAGGAACTCTGGAAGGTAGCCATCGCACGCGCTGCAAGGCTATTCGCTAAGATGCCAGTGTCGAATGATGCAAGATACCCTAGATTCGAGGGCCTATAAGCTGAAATTGGTTGCTTCTTGGGCGAAGGCTGGTGTTAACCAGTGGCACAACAATTTTAATGTTGATGTTTCCTTTTGTCTCTCCTTCAGGACAACCCCACTGCCACCTTGGAGGACCTGGAGAAGCCAGGGGTGGATGAGGAGCCCCAGCATGTGTTGCTGCGCTATGAGGATGCCTACCAGTACCAAAACATTTTTGGTCCTTTGGTCAAACTGGAGGCTGACTATGACAAGAAGCTCAAAGAGTCTCAGGTATTGGTGCTGTGATTCTCATTTAAAGCATCCTCACAAATTATTTCCAGCAGAGCATAGGAAAGTGTGCACGTTTTCAAATTGACAGCGTACCAAGCACAATCCACTTTATTTAGTACCTGCCACTGTTGCGTGCGTTACTTGCTTGCCCCCCCCCCCCATCTGTACAGTTCAGTATTTACTTTTGTATGCATTTGATTAAAGATTTATTTCTCAGTTTTCATATTTTCCTTTTGCAGACCCAAGATAATATAACAGTAAGATGGGACTTGGGACTGAATAAGAAGCGGATTGCATATTTCACTCTGCCGAAGACCGATTCAGGTGGTAATTCCTGAGATTCACTTCTTCCCAGTCATGCAGAAAGATCCTCATCTTATCTCCTCCCACTGACTGCGGACAACTTCCTCCAACCATCATCATATAGTAGCATGCATTCATGATTAGTTTTGTTCTTGACTGGATTCTAGTCTTGTTTTTTTTTTTTTTTTTTTTTTAATTTTTTTTTTTTTTTTTTTTTTTTTTTTTACAAATTGTGTCATTAGTTTCATTAGAAAATTTTTTTTTAGTTT